GAACAAAAAGCGGAAAAGAAAGCAAGCGAAACAACCAAAAACGCTAAGGGTAAACCTTAAGGAGGTCGGATTTGGCACGCCAGAAAGAGGTTGACGAGAGAGGGCAAATCACACGAGGAAGCACGCAGTGCGGGAGAGCACGTTGATCTACATCAATCGCGGTGGGTGGAGAGCGTTGCAATGGGGTCGATGGTTGCAAGTCGTAAGAATCAGCGCCCTAACCGCGCATTTTGTGCACTGAGCTGGCACGAGCTCTGCAGGTACGGACCCAACACGTTCACTCGCGGCGTAGTTCCTACAAGCGATCCTATGTGATTCTAGGGCCTGCCTTTCGAAAAATAACCTTTAGAATATAAATGAAATATTACTAATATATTATTCGCATATTAAAAAAATGTGGACACCCTAACATATTTCATTCTCTGAAAAACTTTTGACTTCTGCACCACGCGATTGAATCTCTCGTTGCGAAAACCTCAGATTTCCAATTTCTCACAAGTTTACATGCAGCTTTAATTTTTTCAATTGATGAAAAAACCTTCTCCTAGAATCAAAAGTATGCTAAAAGAGGACGCTCCCTGAAAAACGGCAAATTTTTATAAGGTCTACCAAAGCTTCTTATATGTTAAGACATTCTAGTTGGTCATTCTTTTTTTTCGATCAGTTCGCAAGTAGCCAATTTCACCAACGTGTTAGGTCACTTGTGATATTACTCTTTTGTTCAATGACGTAGAGACCGCGAACCACGATACCTCTACGTTTTCAATAAGGATGAAGTCTGAGGAATACGCTAGCCGACTTGCCAATCAAAGCCGTTGCGTTTAGCATTTTTCCAAATGGAATGGTGTCAGGGACCTCCCCTGCAAAACAAGTGATTTGCGACATGACTTTTCGAAAAAGGTTGTAGCCGGGACTCAAGCACCTCATTATAATCCTAGTTGTCTACCTGACATGTTGGCAAGCCAAACTCCAATTTTCCCCTCCTTTTGGAACCACCCCAGACCTTTGATGAACATCTTCCGAATTGTCTCTTCGAGCACATCTGCGGGTCACGACCAAAGGTCTCTCCAAAAACAACAAGACCCACCCGAATAGCAAAAGATGAGCTCCTTTCAGCCAGTCGAGGTGGTCTAACTGTAAGAAGGAAATTTCCACAGAAAGTCTTTTATTCTAATCTTACTATTTCCAATGGAACGATAATTGCTCATTTTTGAGACCGGGAAGATCATTTGAATGCGAACGTGAATAGCAGATAAAGCAATTTTGGCACATCACGAGCTATTCTTCTGTTGTTTTGAATAAGTAACGATCCGACGACCCTTAGTCATTGTCGAGAGCTTAGCGTCAGGATTCTGGATCTCTTTTCCAACATACGAAGACGCACGGCCAGGTTGACGTGCGATTTCGCAATTGGAAGGTTCAGCAACATGGACTCCATATCTGTGCTTGGTCTTCTTCAGAAAAACGCTTGCCGTGAAGAGGAATGATGCCAGAATAAGTAACGAAAGGAGAAGTAAAAATAGGTTAGGAAATCGATGCAAAAACTTCATCTGCCTCAGGGTGTCCACATAATTTTGATACAAAGAAAAAATTCCATCAAAATCGAGTTAGTAGGAGCGCCTCCTTCCTGCTGTTCCAGCGTATAAGATTACTAGTGCTATTAGCGGTTCTATGTCCA